TTTGGTAGATCGTGGGCCGTGGAGTAAACAGAATTAAATGAGATACTGTAATTAAAATCTTGTAAAATAACAGAGTTAAGTAGAATCAAATGCGCCTTGTTTTGAGATTTCCAAAATGTTGTCTGCAGTTTTTGTTTTTGTACCTTAAAAATTCACTGAGATATTGAGAAATTTGTATAAAATTCAAAGCATAAAATACAACTAAGGTTGTTTAAACCTTAAGTATCTCCGACAATTTTTATGAGACAAAGAAAAAAGGCCAAATTTTATCATGTTTTAAAGACTTACACTGTTTATCTATACTCCTTTGACAACTATTAACTATTACGAAAATCAATTATACAAATTGCAAATCTAGGGTTCAATGTCTAGTGTACTACATGCACCCCACCCGAAAATAACATCAAACCTTGACCATGATATATCCAATTTATTATATCCGTGATTTTTACCGCCGTAGGAGGATTTGTAATATTTGGTTTAGGCGGTTAGTTACCGCTCTAGGAGGATTTGTAATATTTGGTTTAGACGATTAGTTACCGCCGTAGAAGGATTTGTAATATTTGGTTTAGACGATTAGTTACCGCTCAAGGAGGATTTGTAATATTTGGTTTAGACGATTAGTTACCGCCGTAGGAGGATTTGTAATATTTGGTTTAGACGATTAGTTACCGCCAATGTCGTTGAAATGGTCGGGAACATTTTTGAAGAAATAAAGTAGACCATTTTTTTGATTTTGTAAATCCACAAGATGATCCAGATTAAAAGAATTATACAATCAATCTATTTTCTGAAAAGAAAAACAATGGCATTTATTCAATTACTTGAGATTGCATCTCTAGATAATTCGAAATAGATCTCTTAAACCCAGCCTATCTTTACCAAATCAAACCATTTTTTAATTATTACATTAGTATTAAGAAAATAAGGAATAAACGTCAGGTCAAAACAGCTGAACCGATCGGCCCAAATTTTGTGTGCGACCTCACATGACCCCAGGGATGGTTTATAAATGATCAAAATTTTAAAAATGTGTGTTTAAAAGATTTTATTTTTGTAAAATTTTGAAAATGAGCGAAAAAATATTGTGAAATCCGCAAACTTTTTGTTTTATACTGTACAAAGAGAAGATGCTCAGAGATAAAGCCACAATTAAAAGTTAAAATAGTAGATGTGCGCGAATTGCCCTAAAAGCATAGTATTTATAAATACATTTATATATATTTATTATGCTTTTCTCTCTGTTTGTTTGTCTGTTTACATAAGGAACATAAATAGGCTGAACTGATTTTGTGTTAAAAAGTTTATTCAAAGAAAACATTTTAAATTAAATAACAATTAAAAATAATATTTAAATGTTTACAGAGTAGTTCAAACGAGAGCATAATTTTTCCATTAGATAGCCCGTTGAAAGGGCTTTAATTGATAAACGACATGTACAGAAATGTTTAAGTACAGCTAGCTTTACGTACATTTATGTAAGAGTCAATCCCAGAATGTGTGCGTATGACCCCAGGGATGATTCTTGTACGGTCAAAGGTCGAAACTTTTGTATCGTTAATCTTAAACTCATTTCTAATTAAAGATCGTTTATTTTGAACTGATTTCTGATTAAAGATTGTTAATTTTGAACTCATTTCTGATTAAAGATCGTTAATTTTGAACTGATTTCTGATTAAAGATCGTTAATCTTGAACTCATTTCTGATTAAAGATCGTTAATTTTGAACTCATTTCTGATTAAAGATCGTTAATTTTTGAACTGATTTCTGATTAAAGATCGTTAATTTTGAACTGATTTCTGATTAAAGATCGTTAATTTTGAACTGATTTCTGATTAAAGATCGTTAATTTTGAACTCATTCCTGATTACAGATCGTTAATTTTGAACTCATTCTTGATTAAAGGTACAATCAGTCTTCACTTTAAAACTAATGTTTATCCATTAAATATAGATATATTCATATTTGCTATTTATAATTTTTGTTTTTGGTGTTATATTTATCATATATTTGTTTAGTTTCTAAGCTCTCGTTACGTTCTTTTAAAATGAGAATGCGCATAGAATGGAGGTCAATGCTTGATACCGAGATTCACTGACTTTTTTTTGATAATTCACCAATGCAAGCAGAAAACCATTGAAACCTGAAATTGTTGTAGCGAAAGGTAAAGTACGTAACAAATAAAAGCTGAAATAATTATAAGAAAGAAGGGGCATTGGAATGATGTACTTTCCTAAAGACATTTTCCCAATTAAGTGGCAACTTACCAAGAACTTGCAACTTTCGAAATGCGCGATTTCCCAAGCGGCAACTTCCCTAGTCTGTTCTAGCCGCAGCGCTCTGCCCCTAGCATGTTCTAGCCTTAGCGCACAGCCCGCTAGCCTATTGTAGCCTTAGCGCTTAGTCCTCATTGCAACCTTGAGGCGCCTCATTTATTTTCCGTGTATTTTTCTTTTTACTTGTTTACCAGAACCTCTTTCCAAACATCTTGGAAGATTGAACCTTAGTTTAAACTAAATATTTGATATTGTCCCTTGAGACTGGTTTTTGACCAGTTTGTTTAGAATCAATGGAGGGGGGAGTTGTGTGGTTTATAGGAATAGCAAACATCTGCATGAATGATTTCTTACAACTTTTATGCACTTTATACCTTACATTATATGCAAACTTTGTTCGTTATAAAAACAAAAATTTAATTAAATTGGAAAGATTAAGATCAAGTAAAAAAGTACTTTTCAGAAAAGGTTATTTCGGTAGTTAAATTCTAAAATGTTGTCGCTTTAAGAATTAGATATTAACTTAACCCTCTTTCTTCTCAGTTCTATCTAAATGCACATAATTTGAATAAACTTAAGTTTTATGGACAAAATGAAGAATTGTCTGTGATTTTGCAAAAGTTTATTAAATGTTAATGAATTTTATGATTTGTAGATTAAAGAGGAAAAGAGGAAAAACTACTGCTTAAAACCTTCTGTTATGGTAATTATGTTTTTAATAAATCATTAAAATCTAGACCTTGCAGCGTTATTAACATTAAAGACATATCTTGTCATGCATAAATTAATACAAATATGTATGCATGATTAGATAATTAAAAATAATATAAACATAATTATAGTTTTTTTATTACTTTTCTGAACTGAACAACATGTAAGCCTCCCAAATTTTCTGAATCGAGAAAAAATTGCGACAATTTAATTCGATTGCTTTTAAGTGTAAAGTGTTAAATAAACCACAATTTCTTAGATGTTAGTTTTCAATTCTATTGTACATTGTTCTATAATCACGTCAAAGTTTAACCCTTAACAGGATGGGGGAGTTTTCCCTTTTTCATGGAACTCTCAGACTGAAACTTTACATTTCTAAGAAGGAGCAGTTTTGAAGATTTGTATGCAAAAAATGTTGATGTTGATGCACAGGGTGGGTTTCAGAGCGAGTATATTAAAGATAAATCTAAAAGAGTCAACAACCTTGAAAATATGTAATTTACGATCCTAATTATTTTGGAAAGTATTTAAAAACTTAAATGGAAACAATTTTTTTTTGATGTTTTTTACATACTTTGCAGATATGAGCTCACATTAAAAAGTCTTCTAATGAGCTTTAGCCCTTTTTTAGGTCTTAATAGTTATTTAACTCTACCCGGTCTTTATCAGATTGTTTAAAAGATATTAGAGTAGATGTAGGTTAGCTTAATATTTAGAACAGTTTCTTTAATCTTCCCCTTTGATGTTGATCAGGATTATATTGTTGTAAGATAACCTGGTTTATCAAGAGAAAAGATGAAGATCTGATATTAGAACTCAAACTGCAGAACAAACACAGGAATCCTCTTTTATGTTCTAATAGAAGCTAGAGCTTGTCATTTTTCTAGATTGTTTTAATGATGAAAATAAATACGGAACTCATTTTTACAGAGAAATACTAATTTTCAACGGTATAAGTTTCTTATTTTTTCAGATTATCGGTTAATGAAAAAAAAAAATTGTTTATTGCAACCGTTTTTTCGCACATTTATTATGTTGGTTTGGTAGATATTTTTGCTCAAGAATAGTTTTAACCTGGCTCAACGTTATGAAAGGATATGCTAAAAGTTTGTCGAAACTAGTAACTTATTTCAAAGTTTTAGTGCAACAGCTTTGGACGCTGGAGTAAACTTTCAATGAAAAAAAAAACTTTCTAATGTTAATATTAAAACAAACTTGAATAGAAGAAAGTTTAGAACATGTTTTCATCATCACCCTCCTTTTTAAAAGAGACTGTCAATGTAATCTAATTGAAATAAATGCCCGTTTTATATCGTTGTCCTTAGACACTTGAAATGAAGGAGTTATTATCGTGTTTCTGTCTTAAAAAAGATTCTTGATGTCAATTTTCTGCATAGTCTCTGCTCTATGCCGCTGTTTAGAGAACTCTAATTAAAAATTATCATTTTTCAGATATAAAAGCTAGGATATATCTATATAATAAAACAAGACATTCGTATATTGCGTATATCCGGCAAAACGGCTGGACTGATTAGGCTGAAATTTTTTGTGGACACTCATGGGTGGTCGGGGAGTGATATAGGCTAAAAAAATCGAAAATTGTTTTTTCATCATTTTTTTCAAAATCTTTTTTTTCAATTTTTTTTCACGGGCAACGCCGGGCCCTTCAGCTAGTAAGGTCTAAAAGAGTACTTTTGTAAATTCTTAAACTCTATAATAGAAGAGTCCTTTTAAATTCCTTCTTTAAGCATGTATTTATTAAAATAGAAGAGGATTAAAGACAAACAAAACAGATTTTAATCTGTTTTTTGGGAATTTCTTTTTCTTAAGATTTTTATCATTTCCGCCTTAGAATTGAATAAAAATTCTCTTATTCTATTAAATATATATTTTATCCTTCATCTTACTTTCTATCTGATGTGAGGCACGGATGTGAGATGCCATGTTTAAGCTTGAGACAGTTATAGAATGGTTTAGGATTGTGGGATACAGACAGTATATTTTAGTTTTCGGTTGGACACAGGACTTTCCGGTAGCATGATACATTGATACATTGATACATTGATACATTAGTACAATGATACTTTTCTTCATACAAGGTACATTAGTACATGCATAGTCAATCAGCCTCTTTAGAAGGAGTTGAGTCTTTGCCACAAATTTAAATTTTCCAATCCCTGCATCTTTGCTGGTGTAAACGTCTGGTATTTCAAACTTAAAATCTTTGATCTAACAGAATTCACAGATTTAGGAATTAGAAAATCAAAGTTTGTGGCAAAGACACAATTCCTTTTAAGGAGTATTTTTTGTGTATTTAAGATTGAATATTTCCTGAAGCAGTTTTTTTTCCCGTTTCTTTGTTTCAACGCAGCCTCGGCCATTTGACAAAATATGGAAAATTTGTGAAAGAAAGAAAGGTTAAAGGCAGGAAAGGAAGAATGTTTAATGCCAGGAAAGAAAGAAAGGATATGAACAGGAAAGAGATAAGGACAGGAACGAAAAAATGGATAAGGACAGGAACGAAAAAATGGATAAGGACAGGAACGAAAAAATGGATAAGAACAGGAACGAATGAATGGATAAGAACATGAAAGACGGAAAGAGAAAGGGCAAGAAAGAAAGAAAGGATAATGAAAAAAAATGGATAAGGACAGTAAGGAAAAAATGGATGGACAGGAACGAATGGATGGATAAGGCCTGGACAGGAGAGAAAGACAAGATAAAGATAGTAACGAAAAAATGGATAAGGACTGTAACGAAGAGATGGATAAGGACAGTAACGAAGAGATGGATAAGGACAGTAACGAAGAGATGGATAAGGATAGTAACGAAGAGATGGATAAGGACAGTAATGAATGAATGGATAAGGACAGGAACGAAAGGATGGATAAGGACAGGAACGAATGAATGGATAAGAACATGTAAGGCGAAAAGAGAAAGGGTAGGAAGGAAAGAAAGGATAATGAAAAAAAAGAAAAAAGGCTAAAATAAGAAAATAAAGAAAGGATAAAGACAGAAAATAAAGAATGTATAAATACAGAAAAGAGTGAATGGATAAGGCATGGAAAAACAGAAATTATACGGACAGGAGAGAAAGAAAAGGAAATGGCATGAAGGAAAGAATGGAGAAGGACAGGAAAGAAAGTGGGGATAGGACATGAAAGACAGAAAGGGTAAGAACAGGAAACAAAAAAGGAAAACGAAAGAAAATAAAAAAGGAAAACGACAAAAAATATAGAAAAGATAAGGACAGAAAAGAAAGGATAGATAAGTACAGTAAAGAAAGAATGGATGAGGACAAAAGAGACAGAAAGGATAATGGCAGGAAAGGAAAAAAGAATGGATAAGGACTGGAATGAATAGATGGACAAGGACTTGAAAGACAGAAAGGGTGGACAAAAGAGACAGAAAGGATAATGGCAGGAAAGGAAAAAAAAATGGATAAGGACTGGAATGAATAGATGGACAAGGACTTGAAAGACAGAAAGGGTAAGGACAGGAAAGAAAGAAAGGATAATGAAATAAAAGAAAGAAAGGGTAAGGACAGGAAAGAAAGAAAGGATAATGAAATAAAAGAAAGAAAGGATAAAGACAGAAAAAAGAGAAAGGACAGAAAAGAATGAATGGATAAGTACAGGAAAGAATGAAATTGTTTGGACAGGAAAGATAGGAAGAAAGGATAAAGGAATAAAAGAAAGGAAATGAGAGGAGAAAAATTTAGATAAAAGGAAAGGTTGGACAAAGATGAGGAAAAAGAAAGGTTGGATAAATAAAAGGAAGAACATGAAAAGGAATGGGAAAGGAAAGGTTAGATCCACGACAAGGAAGACTTAAACTCTTAACAAATCTGTTCACCCTATTATCAAAATTTAGATCTCTCCTTCCCCTGTTTTTTCTTCTTCCTGCACACTCTTAATTTCATTTCCTTTCAGACTTAACTTTCTCCGTTCTTATTTTTCATGTTTCATCCCTCGCTTGCAGTTCCATCCCCCTTCCCCTCCCACCCCCATTCCCCGTGAGAATTTCTTGAAATTCCTCGCAGCTTGAAATCGGCAGATAATCTTTATAATCAATATTTCATCTTTACTCCTTCTCAATCAATTTCCTTTAAAACATGTAATTTGAAGTTTCTTCTGAAACTTACTTGCCACACGTTTCGTGCTTTTGCTTTATATGTATTTTTTGCACTGCGGTTAATCTTTGATTAGTTTTCTTTTATCATTAACTTTTCTATGCATTATATTTTCTTGTTATTACGTTTCCTCTTCATTCTCTTTCTTTCACTTTTCCTAATCAGATTTCTTCGTATTCAAGATTTTTCTTGATTTTTCATGGTTTTTCTTGATTTTTCTTGATTTTTCTTGATTTTTCTTGATTTTTCTTGATTTTTCTTGGTTTTTCTTGACTTTTCTTGACTTTTCTTGATTTTTTCTTGTTTTTTATGATTTTTGTTGATTTTTCTTGTTTTTTTATGATTTTTCTTGATTTTTCTATTTTCTTAATTAATTATTTAAAATCTTCAGTTCTAAAAGTAGGTTACATAATAACACGTCTCTTTCATTTATTTTTATTGATAATTCCTGGAATACAAATTTTTAGCCTTTGACAGAAATAACGTTTTGCAAAAAAATAAAAACTTAAAACTGAATAAAAGTGAAATTAGTATTTTTTAAGAATGTCTAGTCATGACATCGCCTTTTACCTTTCTCCCCCCCCTCTCTACGCCATCCCCTCCTTAACCAGTTACCCCCCCCCCCCCTCTCTTCAATATATACTATTAATCTCAGAGTTTTCATGGATGAGGGAACATTAGTAAACTATGTCGTCTTTAAACATCAATTAAATCTATACAATAAATTAGTCAAACTTGACATGAACTTCGTAACTAAAAATTACATGGTTTAAAAAAAGAAATCTATGATTTCAAACAAACGGGGGGAGGGGGGGGGGGTTGATATTAGAACATCTTAGTCGTCATTTATTTGCTCTTTAATCCAACATGTTCTTACAAAACATTTCATATTTTGTTGTTTAGTTGTTATGTTTTGTACAGCAGTGAAAGGAGGTCCTTTAAAATCCTGGAACTGGCAGGAAAATATACCAATCAATTCAATCAATCAAATCGATCTATCGTCTAATCAATCAACCGGATTACTCGATAAGTCATCAACCAATGCCCTTGACCAATCAACTATTAAACACGATCAATTTCCAAACATGGTTTATCAATACGACAATGAACTTGATCAATCAAGCAAGGAACTCGTTCAATCAGCCATGGATCTAAATCAGTCAAACATGGAACTCGATCAGTCAAACAAGGAACTTGATCAGTCTAGCAAGAAACTCAGTCATTCAAGCGTGGAACTCGATCAATCAAACAAGGAACTTGATCAGTCAAGCATGGAACTCGATCAATCAGCCATGAAACTCGATCAGTCAAAAATGGATCTCAATCAATCAAGCAAGAAACTTAATCAGTCAAACATGGAACTCGACCAATCAAGCAAGGAACTCGATCAATTAAATGTATGGTCAAATGAAAAATCTGGAACTATCTTGTGGACAAAAAACAAATACAGAATACCCTTGGATCTAAGGTAATAATGTTTTATGTTAAAAAAATATTTTTCACGTAATTATATTTTTTTATCGAAATCATTTTTTTATTAACACCATGAATGCCACAATTACTGCTGTAATATTAACATAAATATATTGATTATTATTTCACAGGAACCGAGATAAGAAATTCAGTGTAACATCTTTAAAAGAAATTATCAATATATCTCATTTACAAGAAAATAGGTAAACAGGGTTATACTACTTCCAAATATTAATAAAGTTATAAACCAGTTTAAATATTTCCTGAACGTCTAATAAAAGTGCAGGCTCAATATTTAGGACTGATTATGAGAAACCCGACTCAAGTCGTGTTAAGACAAGTAGAAAAGAATATGTTCCACTAAATAGGTAAAATATTGTTAAACGATTGCTCTTTAACTCAAAAAAAAAGCCGAGTATTTTCTAATTTGCAGTTGTTGCAACCAATATGATTAAGTTTAGTAACAGTTCAGTTGAAAATTACAAAATCCATTATTTATCAAAACCAATCCTTCCTTGAGCAAATAACAGAACTGCACTCTCCACCAAACGCTAAATATTTTTGGTCAGTGTAATGCAAATTACTACAGAACGCCACGAAAGCTTAGCTGAGGATGATTGGCCTCTTGGATTTTGTGTTGGTTATTTTGTTTACTGATTACAGCTAGCTTATCCAATCAAGATGGGTTCAAGCTCATCGGGCGAAAAAACGTCCAACTTGTTTTTTATTAAGACATACTAGTTACTCCTGAAAAAAACTCATCATTTTTGTTATCGCAATATCTGGAACCTGGAGATTAAGCAGTACGCTCCGGGATCTTATATACAGGACGTTAGAGCTTAGCTCCGTTTATCAAAGGCCTGGGGAATTGTACTTCATGGACAGCTCTCAGAATAATATATCTTACCAGGACATCCAAAGGACTAAGAAGGACGCCTCCTTCCGTCCTCCAACACGAATGTACATCCTTGGAATCCTAAGATCAGAGGACGCTCTTTATTCTCCGGCTGGATTTATGAACAGAGTCACTGGAGCCTTGGAGCAGCTAAGGTGTTTATAAGCAGAAGCTCTATGATCTCGAGTTGGTTCCATTGACAGGGACACACGAGATACAGAGCAATCAGGACTTCTAGGATATCCAGGACACATAAGGGAACTGGATATCTGTACACATCCGTGCTAACATAGCAGAGACTCTAGGGATAACTCTGGGAGCAGCTCAAACTGTAAGTATGGCTATAGAAATAGCAGGGACTCTAGGAACAGCTCCGGGAGCAGCTCAGATCGTAAGAACGGCTAACATAAGGTGGACTCAAAGAGCAGCTCTAGTAGTTAGAGGAGCAGCTGATGACAGAGAGAATCCCAGATTGAAAGAGCAGCCAGGATAACAGAGACTCTGAGAGCAGCTGAACGAGATAGAGTAATAGAGGTAGCTGTTCAGACAGAGCCTGAACTGTAGCAGCTGAATATCTAAATGGAACTTACAAAAACATGGAATAAACGTTTCAGATGTATTTAATAAAACTATGAAACTGATCAATCCCAATTCATTTATACTTTGAGAGATATGTATAAGGAGGTTATTGAAGGGATCGATACTATAAAACGAGAGAAATTGATTAATTGATCTCGGAAATCTCTAGGATTTACATCTGGCTTGTATTTACTAGAATTCATTATTCATTACATTCATCATAGACATTCTCCTCAAACTCTTCAATTCTGAACTTCTTAATGTTAAAATCGGTTTTTGATCTTGAATATCAATTTTTATTTGTGTGCACAAAATTATTTGGCAAAGAAAGCAAAAGGTTTAAAGCTGTAAGAAACCATCGGCATCAATGTAGTAAAAAGGTTTAAAGCTGTAAGAAACCATCGGCATCAATGTAGTAAAAAGGTTTAAAGCTGTAAGAAACCATCGGCATCAATGTAGTAAAAAGGACTGAATAGATATTTCTTACAGTCGTCGCTGAAGTTTTATTTTTTGTGGTTAGCCCTGTTTAATTATTTATAAATTTACATTTCTTTATTTTTTACGGGTGCATGCAGCTTATTCACCAAACCTAAAAATTCTAAATCTTTTAACTTTTGAATTTGATGAAATAAAAAACAGCTGAATAGTATTATCTGTTTTCCCTTCAACTATTCCGAAAATTCAGTTTAAAGAATTCTTAATTAAAACATTTCAAATGTTTGAAATTGAACGATGGTTTCACAGATTAATTAAAACAACAGATAGGACACTAGATGTCGTCTTTTCAAGATTTGGATAAAACGTATTCACAGTAACCCTGAGGCAGAAGCCCAGAGGAGTTTCGAGCAGTTGGTGTTGAACAGACTCACTCTGTCTTGTAATTCTAGGCCGACTGCGCAAAACTCCTCAGGGTTATTGTGAACGAGTTTCATTCAAATCTTGATAGTGCCCTATCTGTTATTTTGATTAATCTATGGATGGTTTAATCAGTTAATTAGAAGAAAACTTTCTGTTCTATAGAATAATTAATCTTGTTTCTCGATTATATTTGATTATATTTCAGTATGACTCTTCAAAATATAGCAAAACCTCAGTCATATTCAGGTAAACTAAATTTAAATTTTTTCTTACTTGGACTGTAATTTTAATTGAACATGTTCAATTCACAACGGTACTCTTAACAACTTTGTCTTAGATATCACTTGTATTTTTATTTTTAAATCTGTTTAATTCCAATTTTGGGTTTTCTGCAGCTTAGATTACTTGTGCATTTCTAGTTCTTGTTTCAGAAACAATGAAGAAATTATCAAAATTAATGAAAAACGACGTTATCCTCGAATCGATTAACATGATCTGATTAAGATGTTCATGATACCGTTGTACATCTGGCATGCCCCTTTTTTAACGGAGGGTGGCTGATAACTAAAAATACAATACAAACCCTTTCATCAGATGTTTTTAGCGTCAAAGTGAGACGTCTACACTCTACAGTCTGAATTTTACAAACGCATTGGATCAGTTGTTTGTATCTTTTTATACATTTGGCTTTTTATTGTTTTCTTATTCACTGTATTGAGTTTGTTTACAAAAAAAATATGCAGTTTCTGCAAGGGCGGTTTCAGCGGGGGGGGGGGGGGTGGCAGTCCATTCCCCCCCCCCTGGATTTTTACAAAGTCATTTCTCATTTAAACTATAATTTTTATTTATATATGTATAATATACATTGTATAAAAATGATAAAGTTTACTTGAAAGTGACAACATTGTAAAAATAAACATATGTATATCCTCCTCCATAAAATATGCCCATTAGTCAAAACTTTGTGATATAAACACTGCTCAATGCACTGATTGAACAGGTCATCTTATTACCACCGACAGGTTGGTCAACCTGGGAAGAATGGCGATGTTCCCAAAGAGGCTTGCTTCAATTTCGGACATCAGTATTCAAATGCCTTTATTTCAAGCAGCATAAGAAATCTAAATTATAATAGATTGGAATATAGAAGGATATTTTGAAATTTGTTTTATTTGAACAAAAATTCTTTTATTTACTTCTTTTTGTTATTCTTAACTCTAAAAATAGACTTAGAAATGACTTGCAGTCTCCTGCAAGAAAAATTAGCATGATTTAAGAATAATAGCAGGAAATAAAAAATAATTCTCCCTTCATTAGAATAATATGATATGATATGTATAATATTAATGTAAAAGGTTCAATCAATAATATTTTTTTATATCGTTTTTAGATAATTAAATAGATTATTAAGACATTTGCCTACCCTACCCTATACTGTAAAGAAACTGTAATTGTTGTAGGGTTAGAGCGGAAAATAGAACTTTTTAGCAATAGAGGGGTGGGGGGGGGGGATTTCTTTTTACAAGATTACAAAGGGGGGGATTTTCGCGAATGATTTTTTAAAACTCCCCCCCCCCTCTATCGTAAATACTGAAACCGCCCTTGAGTTTCTGTGTCCCATCATTTGTCCTATACTCAACGTTCATGCTACAATTAGGACTGGGCGTCGTTCCTGGGGAACGATCGGTCGTTCACGGGAACTAACGGTAGGGAACGAACGATTTAAAAAAACGTAGGAACACGCCCAGCTCAAGATCTGGTCGTCGTTCCTGGGGAGTGGGAAACGATCGTTCTTTCATGGTAAAGAACGGAACGAAACGAACGATTTAAAAAAAATAAGCACGCCCAGTCCTAGGTACAATGTATCTGATAACTTTTAGCTGGACTGAGCTCCTCATCTGCTACAACAACATCCTGGTGGACTAAACCAAGTAGACGATCCCCGGGACCAACAAGTACACCAACACAAGGCTTCACACAGATTCCACAGGTCAACATTTTTTCTGTTTTGCAATATACAGGGTTACCCACACAGAATGAGAATTTAATGAAGACCTGAAACTCTTTAAGTATAATGATTTAACTTTCTGCTTTTAATACAGATTATTGTCAATAGAGTATGAAATTATTTGTCTAAGAAAACAAAAGAAATATCCAGCTGCAGGGAATATTAAACATTAAAAACTAAATATCTGCAGCATTTTATGCGAGTATTTTTAGAAAACGGCATTTATAAATTCTTTCGATGACTCCAAAATTCTGGTTGAAACTGTACACTATTTTAAAACTTGTTATTGTACAATTGTACATATTTTACCAATTGTGACTGAAAATATTTAGTTTTTCTAACAAAAAAGGTCTTAAAATGAAATTGATGAGTAAATTTTTTATTCTTGATTTAAAACCATCAGAGCTGAAATGTATTAGCTCATAAATGATAATGATAAAACTTTATAATTTCAATGGCTTATGCACTCTGCAGCCATTGTGGTTCCGCTATCTTAACCTTAACATTACTTTTTTGATTTAGATCAAAACAACGACGAAGTTTAAGTTCTATTATCCTATCAGAGAAGACGACAATCAAGGTATTTTTCTCCCTCCCTCAAAACTTCTCAAAATTATCTCTAAAATAAATCTCTAACTGACGAAGAAAAAACGATAATAACAAATTAATATGCTGTAGAAACTACAAGTATTCAAGCGGATGTAAACAGTCAAGAAACCAGCAGCAAACCGGAAATTGAAGACTGGAATTCATTTAGGAATAAAGATTAAACTCATCACTCGATTTTCGTATTTTTAAAAATATTTTTAACCCAAATTTTTAGTTTCGTGTTGAAATTGATCAATATACTTTTTACAATTATTAGTATTTTTTCTTTCTTTTAAATTTATTCTTTATAAATTGATAAAGGCGACCTCAGAATCCGATTTCTCAGATAAAAAAGGAATCATCAACTTTGCCATCCTTTATTCCATCATCACCGATAGTAGATATATCATCATCTTCCTCATCTTCATCATCTTCTTCTTCATCTTCTTCAGTATCGTCCGGTTCAGTTTCTTCCTCAACAGCTTTATCGCGCCCTGCGCTGAGGTAACGACAATTACCCCCCCCCCCCCTATACAATAAAACAAGAAAATATCATTAAAAACGTATTTCAGCTGGCTTCAGTTCTTGGCAAATAAATCTAAAATAAAAGAGCAAGCAATGTTGAAAACAGATGGCACAAATACAACACAAGGTAAGAAAAGTAATAATAACATTATTAACATTAACAAAGTTATCACAAACTTTAACTACTACAAAAGGAAAACAAACATCATATGGATTGTCTTTATTATCATTTGAAATTTACGAGTCTACAGTGATAACCAGAAAACTCTAAAACAGAAAGTGAATTTGGTATAATTAGTTATACTGCACAATTACTGTGTCTATTTCTCATTGAACTTTAAAATTTAATTCTAAAAGTCGTCTTTAAATTTAAGAGCTTTCTGATTATCACTGTATTAAACTACCGATTCAAAAAAGGGTTTCTCAAATTTGATGCTGGTCATCTATATATATTAAGTACAAATGTATATGTGTCTGTTATGTTTGTTTGTTTGCTTATCTGATCATTACTCATTAACCCCTTCCTATGTAAAGCTGGGGGGTTCCTAAGTTAGTTTTGAATTAAATTGTAATAAACTAAAGTTGTACGGGGAAAATTTACTTTTGGTAAACTATTATGATTTATTATTTCATGTAAAACACTTTGTTATTCATTAACTTCAACACATCTCTTAAATTCCAATGTTTATTAGAACGCCATGCACTCAAAGAAATTTCAAATTTTCATCTAACAAAATTTGATGGAGCACCGGCATCAAATTCACTTTAGCAGAATCATTCGCCAAATTTCGTTAAATGATTCTGCTAAAGTGAATTTGATGACGGTGCTCTAACAAATTTTGTTAGATGAAAATTTGAAATTTCTTAGAGTGTGTTGGTGTATGCATCTAACCACAAAATAATTGATTAGATTCTTTTGTTAATTAGAGTTTAAAAGGGTAAAGTTAGATCTTAGAGCAACAGATTATAATTGTTTAAATTTAAACTGGATTATACTGGATTTTCAATTTTAGAATTATCTACACAGTGTATGTGTGCGAATGTAGAAACACTATAATAAGGTTTCTCTACTCAAAGCTTTCATTTCGTTGCATAAATTATCATAAAATAATGGATTATTACAAGTTTTTTATCCCAAAAATGCAATATGGTGATAACACAATATATAAAATATGTATTTTAGGTATCATAAATATCCATATTTCTCAAATCCATCCAACCAAAGATGAGCCAAGCTTTCAGAAAATAACATCATCAGTATCAACTGCAACACCTTTAGATGATACAGAAGTGGAAATAGCAACAACACGATTCATTCCTTGGAGCTGGGTTGATATCATTACTATAACTGATTCTCCTGGAAATACTCATGAAGTAAGTTCACATTCGTCAACAACAGATACTATCATAGAACCTACTGGGTTTACTCAGGGGGGTTCTAAACCTACCTCAGAGAACTCAAAACCAACTGTTAATGAAACACCTGAATCCACTGATGAACCTTCTCCTGGTATCACTGAACCCACAAGCATTGAAACATCTGAATCCACTGAACCTTCTCCTGGTATCACTGAACCCACAAGCATTGAAACAACTGAAACTACTCCTGGAGTACTAAAACCAGAAATTACTACAGAAGATTTAGAGCCTGATCTTGAACTAGAAACTGAACCTGGAACTTCAGCTGGATTAGAAATCATTTCTTCAGGTTCAGATCAATCAAATGAACTAAAAGGTAAACCTCTGTCACAAAGCTCCTTCTATCCTCAAAATGCAGCCTGGGAGGTTGAAGCAGTTGTTACAACGATTCTTCCGATAACAACACCCTCAGATGTTCAATCAACACTACTGCCAACAACTCCAGAAACAACAACTTCGTTGACATCTATTCCAAGTGAAGAAACAACGACTTTGATAGAGGAAACAACAACAGGTATAATAGAAGAAACAACAGTACTCATGACAGAAGAAACAGTAACAAAAGTAACTCTTTCAGAAGAATTAGGAACTCCTACAGAAGAAACAGTAACTGTTACTGAGGAAACAGGAACTTTAATTGAAGAAACAGACACGGTTACTTTTACCGTGGAAGCATCAACTCCTACAGCTGAAACAACTAGTGTATTCACGAAACAGAGCTTAGAGGAGGAGCTGGAGAAGTTAATTGATCATAATACTAAGCTGGTTGATATTATCAGAGCAACTTTGCAGGTTCAATTCACACTATTTTCCAGGATTATCAGCTATATTCTACCATCTAGCTGATAAACATTATCTATAGCTTCATAATCAGCTATATTTTACCATCTAGCTGATACACATTCTCTATAGTTTCATAATCAGTCACATTCTATGCTAGCTGATATACATTCTCTATAGTTTCATAATCAGCTATATTCTACAATCTAGCTGATAAACATTCTCAATAGTTTCACAATCAGCTATATTTTACCTTATAGCTGATACACATTCTCTATAGTTTCATAATCAGCGATATTCTACAATCTTGCTGATAAACATTATCTATAGTTTCATAATCAGCTATATTCTACAAACATTATCTATAGTTTTATAATCAGCAACTTTCTCCCATCTAGCTGATAGACATTAAAAATAAAAAAATCAGCTTGACCTTCATTGTCTTTCATTAAACTGATCTATAACTGTTAATCATTAATTTCAGTCTTCTGCTGATCTATTTTATTTGGATAGATTGGCTCACTTTACCCCTCTATCTCCTGATTTAAATAGATATTTTCTAATTTTGGTAATTTTGTAATCTTTTAATTTAGTTTGATTAGTTTAGAAATGTAGCTGATATCTTGTTGTACAATTAAGTATATCAAATATTTAAATGTTAATCCCATACTTTTTTGATGAAGATACAGTGTGTTACCCACAAAAGATTCCACTTCAGAGAGTTATTTCAACCTTCTAGGTTCCTAGCAACTGTAAACTGTTTCTTTCTTTGCATGATCATTAGTTTATTATCTATAGAATAAACTTAAAGTAGAGGAACAAATTTTACCCTCAATAAACCATAATTTTTCAAAGCATTCGTATATTGTTCATATTTCATAATATTTTTGTATTTTTTATCATCTGATAGTTGCTCTTGAAAACATGTAATCCTGTTTCGAGGATTTTTGATAATAAAGACGGCATTTTCATATTTTCCCGGAATGTTCGAAAATCCAGCGCCAGCTAAATATTATTTTTTTTAATTTGAAATATTATGAAATGTTTACAAAATATGAATGCGTCCAAAAAATAATCGAAGAATGTGGGTTGTCATATCTGAATGATTTGTTTGGAATTTGATTAATTTACGATCCGAGTTGAATGTTGCAACTTTCTAAATTTGTATAGAGTATAGACGCTACGTTCTTCAGCATAAGTCGTTCTTAACAATTTACTCCTTATAGACGCAACAGATAGAAGATAAGAAGCGAACAAAAGTGCTTATTTTTCGCTGTAAGCCTATACCTTTCATTCTTCGCAAACACTCCCTTTAAAGAGTTTTGGTCGTCATGAAAGTCGCATTCTTTGTGGATAACCCTGTATATTTATAAAATAACCATATTTTATAATTTGTTGTATTTGTGAAGTATAATTTCTTACTGAATGCAAAATAAATATAATAAATTATAAATTTATAAATTATATAAATTATATAAAATCTATATAATTAAACTCTTCGCTCATATATTTAACATTTTTAATTATTCTAGGCTTGTAGGGCGCTTCGCACCCATCTTCTATTTCAAATTTTAATTGTGGCTTTATTTCTGAACATCTTCTCTTTGTACAGTATAAAACAAAAACAAAAAATGTTTGCGGATTTCATAATATTTTGTTGCGCATTTTTAAAATTTTTCAAAAATAAAAAACTTTTAAACACAAATTTTTAAAATTTTGATCATTCATAAACCTTCCTTGGGGTCACGTGAGGTACCACACAAAATTTGGGTCCGCTTGTTTCAGCCGTTTTGACGTTTATTGGATACTAACACCCAGACAGACAAGCTAAATTTATATATAGATGTTAGCTATTGCTGGCCAAATGGCTAAACCAATTTGGCTGAAATTTTTAGGGAACACATGGATACCCTGGGGGGTAACATATGCTTAAAAATTAAATTTATTTTTAAAAAAGAAAATTCCTCGGGCAACGCCGGGTACTTCAGCTAGTAATTAATAAAATGATTATTAATTCCATGATAAACAAAGACCATTTTCATAAAAAAAATCTTGTCTAATTTCAAATTCTTTGTTATACATTACATATTTACTTATTAATCATCTGCATCTAACAAATCAAACTGGTAATACCCAAACAACTCTGGAATAAGAAGACGATGTTAAGGCATTTATGAGTATTTGATGTTGTTATAACGAAAATAGTTTTACCAGTCACTTGAAGATTAAGTTATTAAGTGGAAAAAGTCAGTGTGCATTTCAAAATTCCTGTGTTTCATGTGTTCATGGGACTATTTAGTGTCATAATTGCAGTCCTCTTTTTCCGCAGTTTCATGGGTCAGGGTGTATGTACAATAAGTTTTCGTACAACAATTTTTAGAATCACCCCCGCCACGCCCCCCCCCCATATGTAAAAAATGGTATGTGGTTCCTCTATCTATAATAACATTCATATTGTTTATTTTTAATTAGATATATATTAGTCGACAAAAAAATGAGATGATAATAATAATACATGTTATGAAACTATGTCTTATCACGTGGGTGGAACTGCACAAAGCCTGCAGGTCAACTTGATCACCTGACTAAACATACAAATCATAGAACCCATTAAAACCTGAATATCATTGATTTTTGCTGGTAGAAACTTTTTTTAAATACTTTTTTTCTTGTGATTTTAATTTGTGCAATCAAATCATAGTGAAGAATAAAATATTGGGTTTCAACATCTTGAAAATTAATTTTGAAAGAATACTTTTTGTTTTTTAAAAAATTCAAACTTCAAACTTTTGCAATGAACGCTTTGAGGTTAAACGTTAAAAGATATATAAAGTCATAAATTGCATAAAAAGAAACAGAGAATTTGTTCTTAAAAATAATGATCTATTTGTATATTTCCTTGTGTTCTGCTGTATGTAGAGTATTAAGTTTAGTATACAGTTCTCCAACTTCGTTTCTCTCAGCAGTTCTGGGAATATGCACATTTTTAAACAAATAAAAAAATATGAGATATTACGGAAATATTTCCTTAAACTTAAATTTTTCACGTTTGTTTATAATTTTTTATACTTTTATGGGAAGGGGGGGTGCATGAATAAAGAAAAAAAATATTTTTGGCATGAGATTGTAAGAATTTTGCAAAAGCGTAATTCATTTTGATTTAAAAATTTTATAGCGTAAACTTTTAATTTTGCATGTGTTCAAAGTAATAAAAATAAATAATTTGAAAGGAAAAAAACTTGATGATTAATGATTTTTTAAAACGCCTCCTAAAAATAAAAAAACGTTATCTTAAAAAATCTAAAGATTTTATTTAACTTACCTATGATACGGTGTTATACACTGTTCTCCTTTACAACAGACGACCTCTCCGCCTGACAGAAAAAGAGTAATTGTAAACATTTTACAATAGGATACAGGGTGTCCCACATAAAACTGGATAGTGCATAGCTCTTAATTGGAATTTTTGGGACAAATTAAAGAATCTTGAAAGAATACACCATTATTCATTTTAAAAACTAAATTAAAAAAAGTTGCATGGCGAATATACAGGGCTATTTGAACGAATGCTTGAAAATACTCCAATATTAAATAGAACGCACTGTATGTAAGCGTATAGTAACAAATCTATGTTTGTATGCATAATGTAAACAGCATTTAATGTTTAATTTAATGTTTAATTATGGACCTGACATTCCTGTAATCTGTTGTACATAGCCTGGCATATTCTGATACTAAACACGTTCATTAAAGTACACAATAAAGTACAGTACATATAGTTTGTCCTTACCTGTTTGCATAAAGAGTAGAGTATTCCACCCTGGGTTAAAATACTTCCATTTCTGTCCAAAATACTTATACAACCATCATAAACTAAAATAAAATTCTAAACCTAAAATTCTAGAAAAAGTTACAACTGTCTTGAAAGGAGATCTCTATGATATACTAGCTTGGGAACCTAACTTTGCCAGGAGATTAAACTTTCTCTCTGGCACTCAGCTAACACAACTTAGAACCAAACTATGAATATTTCCGTGGTTCTACTGAACTTCCAAATTTAAAATTTGAGACAAATCGGTCCAGGGGCCAGACTTACTATCAAACACCAAAACAGAGGTTACTGCAAACAAAGATTATTAAAGGAGTAAAGTGAAAAAAGTTTTTTTTCTGTGTTTTTTTTTAAATCGTTCTAGAACTGGCTTCCAGGTTATTCAGGATCATTTTATGAAATGATATTACACAATTTATTTAATCTTCTTTGCATTCATTTTCACGAACGAAGATGTGTTGAAGACGACTGGACCTGAGTATGATGGATATAAAACAGGTGGGCGGAGCCATCCTAAAATATTAAATTTGTATTAGAGAATTTCAAGAAATTTTTACTTTAAATTTAGATCGAAATTTTACTCTTTTATATATTTTGAGCATTTGATAATTATTCTTAAATTAGTTACCTAGGATACATTTTTCTTCGTGGATTATTAAGCGAAACCAATAAAAACATTTAGAAAATTTAGAAACTTTAAGGGTAGATTTTAAAATTATTTCTGAAGCCNAAAACAGACATCATCATTCAGACGAGGCAAATATATTTTAAAAGATTTAAACCATCAATGCAAATATGTTTAAAAATAATATTCGAATACAGCATTCACCTGGACAAGGGCCCATTATTTCATCTTGTGAATCAACCTCAACTTCCAAATCTGAACATGTTAAGTTTGATTCTTTATTCTTGGACATTTTCGAAATATACGTAACAGTTATGATCGATGGGCAGTTTAAAATTCGCCACTTTGGCCTGGTTGAGTTGTTAATTTTGTTATCTTTGTTATTGGACCATGTTATGTGATTTCATTTTCAATGGGTACGTCTCATAAGAAGAAGAAAATTCTTTAAAAATACAGAAAACTTTTAATCCTTTTCTGTTCCGGTACCTGTTGTTTCAGACAATAAACATAAATGCAGCGGCAAAACATTATAATTTATTGCAGTCTTACCATCAATAGTTTTAGTCTTTAAGTAAATCAGAAACGTTTTCCTCTTAGTTTTCCAAATGATTGTGATATCAATTTCCAACCAATCCAGATTGGCAAACTTCAGACTATTATAATTTTCTCATTTTTCATGCTCTTTAATTAATGTGGATTGAAACGGAAAGTAACGTAGATTTTGAAATTGTCCCAACTAATATCAAAGTTGAAGTACCTTAAAAACCGGTTTTTTGGAACTGAATATTCATGTTAATACCTGAACATTGAAAACACGCTACAGATGTATCCTTGTACATTGAACCAGACTCATCCCTTCTAGTTGTATTCAACATTAAACACAATTTTTCTGCGCACGAATATATTCACCAAATTTTAAATTTTCATTCGGTTTTTATTCAGTTTTTTATCATAATTATTCAAAACAAAGTTGTTTCTTTGCTTTTAAACAGCCTCTATTTTAAATTTAGTTTATTTGTTAATTTAAATTTTTACCACTAAAATGATTTTTAAAATCAAGTTATTTTTTTAACATTTTTCTTTTATTGGTATTTTTAATTTAACTATTGATTGTTATATGTGTTTTTTAAACACATTATCTGTTATGGTTCTTACTTTCGCAATCTGATTTATGTCGAGTATTGCCATTTAAGAATCAGCATGATTTTTAGGCTTAGTCTCTTAGAATTAAAAGTTTAATATATGTTGACAGATCATGGCATTCAGCTTTTAAAATAAGATGTATGTTTTATTCCTCAAAGCCGTCATCGCCTAGATATATGTTATAAATATTCGAGATTATTTAAATATTAATCTAAAACATGGAAATATATTTATACAATAAAATGCAGGTCTCCTGGGGGGAGAAAATGAAAATAGTTTTCTAATTTACTTCTCAGGGCGGGGGGAATCTTAAAACAGAAGAAAGGGGAAATGCCAAAAAAAAACATTACTTGTTACAAAACATACGGGCGTGAGGGGGTTTGTTTGCCAGTGTTTTTTAGCCTTTAGATTAATCCATCAAATTTTTAAGGTTCATCTCTAATTTAAACTCCTTATTAAAGTTGTATAAATTATTAAGAAGAAAAAGATGCAAGAAAACACAACTGCAGCCCATTACATTTTTGTCTGAAAAAAAGTATGCAATGCATATTATTACGCATAACTTTTCCAGATTTAATCTTTCTAGATAATCTTTTAAAAACCTTTCTTTAGAAATTTGTATAAGCCTTTCTAGAAAGTTTAGTATGGACGTTTTAAAAGAATTCTTGAGATTTTTGTATAAATCTTTTAGATAATTTAATATAAACCCTTTAATTATAGCTGCCCTTCCTTGTGAACTTTATATTAACCTTTTAGAACATTTTTCAAACCCCTTTATAGAGAATTATTAAAATAAAAATTCGAAAGAATTTTATAAAAAGCTAAAGTTTTTTTTTAGAGATTTCTTTTTAAAGATTTCTGAAAAATTCTAAAATAAAAAGAATTATATATAATTATAATATATAATAATACATAATTATTTTTAAGGATTAAAAAAAATCCTTTTATTATAAGTCATCGAGTCTTTACATTTCAACCATAAGATTTATTTGTTGCTATATGTTTTTTTAATTTTAAAGATTCATTACGCTTTGATTGTTAAGGTTTCAATGACTTATCAAAACAGTATTATTCTGATACAGCCCAGAGTCAGACAACTAATCTTGTGTATCTTGACGCAATGCAGAATTTGTATTGGCTTAAAAAGTTAAAAAGAACGGATTGAGATAACAATGCAAATAAGTTTAATAAAGGAACCTGTATAATATTAGAATAATGTCGTTTATAAGGCGTGCATGCAGGAATTTTTCCGTGGGGGGGGGGTAAAAATGTTCTTCCTAGTTCCTAGGGGGGCTCAGCACCCATTGGTGCCCAGAAACCCATAAAACATAGATTTCACTGAGCCAGACAAACAAATTCAAATTCTCCAGTTGACGAATAGTTTAAATAGAAATTTAAATAAACAGAAGAAGAGATAATTACATCGACCGTGTTCAAGTGAGGTTTGGATAAAACTAAGTCTGATCTGCGAATATATCCCCCCTCCCCCTCCACCCCCCCTCCCGTAGTTTTAATACTTTTCCATAATATACAGAAGCCTCGCAACATGCAAAGGGACCTCATAAAGTAGAGGACAGGGGGGGGGGGGGGGGCCCAAAGCATGTATAATGTATATATTAAACTTTATCTAAACACAATTTTTACTTTTGTTAATTTCTGAAACCTAACCTAGAAGAAAAGTTCAAATTAGCACGAGGTTAATTTTTGTAAAATCTCCGCACCCTCTCCTGAAAGTGGAAACCTTTGACAAAGATGCTTTAACAATATTCTTTTTATTAATGTAGTAATGGGCAGATTTTATGAAAATCTTGAACTTTGAGCCTAAATGTTTCTTAAAACATAGATATTGATTAATTTGGTGAATTTATTTTAATTTAATTCTGTCACCCGGCTTCTACTGTATCTTGTTAGGACTGTATATTCTGCATCTACAGACTGCAGAGTGCCAAGGGCGTATACAGGGGGAGGGGCAGTGCCCCCACCTAGACCTGCAAAGGGGGGCAGTGCCCCCACCTAGACCTCCCTAGAACTCATAGCTATTACACTTTTAAAATCTGAAACTGAAGACTGAAGAACATTAAAAAAATCAATTTGGTTTTTTCTGCTAGTTTTGTTTGAAGGAGAGATAATGTGGTACTTGAAATGTAATTGGACTGTAAGTGTACATTTAAAGTATCCAAGAAGCCAAATGTTTTGAATTTACGGTTCAAATTTTGCCCCCCCCCCCCCAACTTTTTTTTGCCAACCTTACATTTTTTTTCTGTGTACGTTCTTGTGTAGAACGTACCAGAAATTCAATTATTTTTTTTTTTAAATCCTGCACTAGTATATTATTAACCATATAAAGGCTTTCGAGTTTACAGGGTTTCGAGTGGAATTCAAAAATCGTTTCGCGTAAATTGCGTAATTCCATAGGATTTTTTTTTGTTTTTTATGCCGCATTTTTTACATTTTATATAAAATATTTTGCACTTGCATTTACACGAGCAAAGGGTTTGATTAGGACAGTTTGTGATTCTAAAATTTGATTCAAGTAAATAAACAATTAACGCTAAACATGCAAATTTGCGCGCAAAATCTGTTTTGCAAGCATATTGCACTCACTTACATTCAAGTTTGCGCTAGTATACATCAAATTAATTTCCGCGCAAAAGGGGTGTCAATGTCCACCCGCAAGCTAATTTGCGCAAAATTGTGCTATTTTTTTGGCAACGATGGGAAAAAAGTGGGTTTCTTAATATCTTTTACTGCTGCCTTGAAGCCCTTGATGATAAATGCATGCCTGAAGTGAATAAAAAACATATAATGGATCTACTCTTGCCTTCCTGGAATAAATGATAATAATGCTTTAATTAAATCAAAAATTACAAACAACAGAGAATATTAAAAATAATGGGTGAATGAATGTATTGCGGTTTAATAAAAACATATCTTTCTTTTTATGCCGTTACCCATTGATACAATAATTCTAAAGCTTTTAGATGAAACGCAGCGCTTATAGGTTCATAGTTTATAACGACTCTCCATTTTGTAGAGTTGCACGTTTGATTCACAATAGTACCCTTGAACCCTTTGACTGATCAAGGAAGACAGGCTTGTCCTTTCCATATACAAAAACTACTAAAACGCTTAATTGTCATTATTAATTACTTTTTTACAGGTGTTTTATAAAAACAAAAAATGAAATTTACTGCATTTCAGATATGTGTTTATCCTCAAAATGCATGTTTAAATTGGATTAAGTATAAGATAGAGCATAGTGTGAATATTTTGAACAAATTCAAATGAAACATTTAATTATTACGACTTTTTAAAGGTAAATATAAATACATTTTTAAATATCTGAGAATTCAAGGAATAGTACTGTATAATTAATGAAGATTGTTTTATAGTGCTCCATTCCTCATTCTTTTAATTTAGAATATTCTAGGTTTTTAATTGAAGAAAAATCTTGCTAAGATATTATGAATATGTATTTATTATGTATGTAGGTAAATATGTAATAATTTCTTTTCTTTTTTAACTCGCCCTTTAAGAGCTTCTTGTAAAGATGGATTTTCTCTAAATTAAGCCCCTGAAATATAATATCTAAGCAATGAATAGATAAAATTGGTGTTCTGTTAGTTCAATAGGTAGGGTGTAGGGGATAAATTATTAACATATATGGAAGTTTAAAATCATCTTGATTAACAACAGAACACACCTCTACTAGGCATCCTTCAAATCAAAGTGCTTTATAAATAATTCAAAGTACTTTAAAACCCCTCACATTGGAAACAACAGAAAACTAAAGATACTTTAAAAATAAAAACAAAAATTGATATTTCTCAGTCGAAAACTTGAAAACACTGTACTAGTATGTAGATTCAGTATAAGTATGTAGATCACAGAGGAGTGTGATTTTGCTTTGTGTGGTTTACATCTTTATATCCCCATGATAGTAAAATTCAGGCCTACAAAGCAGGCTGAATTTTACATTAAAGCGACATAAAATGCTAATATTCTAAACTGGATAGTTCGTGGCATATTTTTAAACTAGGTGAAAATAATGTTTTCATTCATCAAAACAAATATTTTTTACTTCACAGCACAGCAAACAATTAGTGATAAATTTTCAAGTTTTTCTTATTTTTTCTTGCCCGAAATAATTTGCGCATTTCTTTGTTCATCTAATTCACGTTCAGCATTATATGATTTGGAAAAAAAATAATATTTTCCAAAAAAAGGGCCGTGGAAAAAATGTCAAACATAGGCCTTACAATTTTTGGAGATGTCCCACGACTACAAGGTATGTATTATTTACGTAAATTATGCGAAGATAAACGAAACTGATTATTGATATCAAGCGTTGTAGATTAGCGCCATCTCACAAAATAAGTTTTGATCTAGTATAATATAATATAATATAACATAATATAATATAAGACGACTCTGTGTAGTTTGTATATATTACAGTGGCTGCCGCTGTATTCAGTCAGGAAAAAACAGCTCCGACCCAGGAAGAAACCTGGCTGCTTCAGGAAGATACAGATACTTAGCCTAGCAACAGGCGATGCTTACCCCTATAGTTTATCTGGCTACTAGAGACATAAATCGCTCAATTGCCATGACTGATAAGCCGCGATCTCTCCCCCCCCCCCTAATCTGAACCTGCAGGGGTGATCCCTGTTGTTTAAGTTCCTGTGAATCTGCACCACCAACATGAAGCTCTACAACGCTCCTATGATGTGATCATATATATTCGTCAACAGTTCCTTATTTTATTTTCTAACCAATCAATTTTAGTCTCACTGGAAAAACTATTTTAAAACATTTTTATTTTGCACTTCAATAAATTTTAATAAATAGCCTTATTGATTTCTTTTATTTTACTAAGCTGACTATTAAGTCAACACTAGTGTATATCCAGAATACAACTATTGAACTAGAATGTATCCAGGGTGTGTGTCCAGGTATTGTAGTTGACACTTTAAAAATCCAGAATATGATAAATAAAGGAAAAATATGAAAACAATTGGGAATACTTCTAATAACTGACAAAGTTCTCTAGTTAGTAGTTAGTGGTTAGACAGGGACAAGTACAGTAAACTCATCAGAATTTAACCCTAGTAGTTGGGTGGGTGGGGTAGACAGGGACAATGGGAGAAGTACAGTAAACTCATCAGAATTTAACCCTAGTTAAAGTTCAAGGTAAATAGTTAAAGGATTAAAGAGAATAGATATAACGCATTTAAACTATCTCTGCCATTATTTTATACCGTAATTTAGGTATGTCGCATGATTTGAACTAATCATGTTAAGTATTCGATTGAAACGCAGTTTCAATGAATAATCTCATTATGTCTAATTTTAAAACATTAAATCATTTATGACGTACAACGTACCGCAAGTTTACAGAATATCAATTTTACATGCTTTTTGCTACAGAAGGAGGGTAGACCACAGCAAGTGTAGTAAACTCATCAAAATTTAACCATAGTGGTTAGGTAGGGAAGCAAGACGGAGGGGGGGGTTGGACAGGGACAAGTACAGTAAACCCATAAGAATTTAACCCTAGTAGTTGGGTAGGGGGGGTGGAGGTGGACCTCCTAATACTAATGGTTGTCTGTCAGAACGTTACCTCCATCTGTTTCATTGGNGGGGGTAAATCTCTATAGGATAGAACTACCACAAGAATCTTAGTGCTAGAACTTTTTAATTCCAATAGTCATTTCTTGACATGCTAATTGTTAACTTCATTTTCCATCGCAAATATTTCATTTCCCAACCAAAATATTTCATTTTCCAGCCGAAAGATTTTTTTCTGTTCTAATTGTTTATTTCTTTTGCTTCAAATTCCCATTTTTTGTCCCAAAACTCTCATTTTCTGTCCCAATATTTTAATTTCCTGTCCCAACATTTTAATTTTCTGACCCAAAACTTTCATTTTTTGTCCCAAAACTTCCATTTTTGTCCCAAAACTTCCATTTTCTGTTCCTAAACTTTCATTTTATGTTTCAAAAGGTTCATATTCTGTCCCAAAACTAGTAAGTTTTAATATGCTTTTTATTGCCTCCTTTTCAACCCCTCACATTTTTTGCCTCAATTTTAAACTTTTTTCATTTTCTTCCCTTTTTCCCAACCCTTCTCCGTTTTTGCCTCATTTTAAAATCTCTCCTTTTTTAAAATTTCTCTTCTCATTTTCAAACTTTCTTTTCTCGCCCTGTTTCATTTCTTTTTCTCTTTAAAATTCTTTTCAAGTATTTTATCAAAATGTACAAATTATACACCCGGAGGGCAAAACTAGAAAACTCGAACTATTGTAGAATACACCTAAACCTTCAAGAGGAAATATAGAAACAAAACTAAAAACTCGAACTATTGTAGAATACACCTAAACCTACAAGAGAAAATATAGAAACAAAACTAGAAAACTCGAACTATTGTAGAATACGCCTACGCCTTCAAGAGGAAATATAGAAATAAAACTAGAAAACTCGAACTATTGTAGAATACACCTTAACCTTCAAGAGGAAATATAGAAACAAAACTAGAAAACTCGAACTATTGTAGAATACGCCTACGCCTTCAAGAGGAAATATAGAAATAAAACTAGAAATTTCGAACTATTGTAGAATACACCTTAATCTTCAAGAGGAAATATAGAAACAAAACTAAAAAACTTGAACTTTTGTAGAATACACCTAAACCTTCAAGAGGAAATATAGAAACAAAACTAGAAAACTCGAACTATTGTAGAATACACCTTAACCTTCAAGAGGAAATACAGAAACAAAACTAGAAAACTCGAACTATTGTAGAATACACCTAAACCAACTAGAATAAAAAATAGAAACGAAACTAGAAAACTCGAACTATTGTAGAATACACCTAAACCTTCAAGAGAAAATATAGAAATAAAACTAGAAAAAACACATAACAATGGAAGAACTAAGAGTTTCACAACCTGCAGACGAAATAAACAGAAAAACTACATTTCTACGAGAAACACAGTGGTTATGAACATCGAACAAGAGTGCCATATAATCCACAAATACCACAAAAGCTATGCATTTGTTGTGATGGCCACAATATCCACAAGAACTACAATTACAGAAAGAAGAGAAACACTAGAACTAAAATCATCACAATTACTTCATTTGGTGAAGGAAAATAACTACAATTGTTATGGGATAATCCATAATATTTATTGAACAAGAGAAGTAAAGATTAAGAAATATTGTCACACCCAATATCAAGTTAACATACAACACTGAAATAGAAGAGATAAAAATAACTGTAAAATAATTTAAGAATTAGACCAACAAAATCGTATACTTTGTTATTTTTGTAGTTAATGATAATTTTAATAAACTATTTTTCAATCTGATTAATTTGATACCATCACACACGTTTCTATGATTCTTTAAACAATTAACCACAAAATTCTCCTAGTTCTGGGATTTTCAAAAATAAATGTGGTCTGTCTTTTTGTGTCGTCAAAATTACCAAAGATATTAAGAATTTCGTTCAGATTTCAATCTTTTAAATAAAACAAATTGATGAAATCTGACAACAATATTGAAAGCACAAAAGGGCTGGGACTGCCAGGACTTATGTGATTTTACTTCTAAAATTAGGTTGACAAAAACATGCAGGAAATTATATCAAATTTAAGACGACCTTCAAGTCGTCTTCCTACTGCCCTGTACCATATTTTAGTGTCTTAAGGACAGTTCACCAGTTTGTAAAATACTTGACATTACAATTCATTGATACTTCTCATACTTTTACTAATTCTCATACTTTCACTAATCCTTTGGGCTTTGCTAGAACGCCTGGGTTTTTCGTAAAGGAATTGAGTCATTGTCACAAACTCTGATTTCCTAATCCCTTTATCTCTACAAATCAATGTTTTAGACCTTAGATATTTCAAACTATAAATTCTGATGGATCAAATAATCAAAGTTAGAAATATTAAAGGTTTACACCATCTGGTTTTAGAGATATAAGTATTAGAAAATCGGAATCACAAACATTTTCCGTGCTAAAGGGACTGTAAGTGTAATTTCAGTGACCCTCCATGTAAAGATGACAATGCCCGATTTAATTCGGTACCTTAAAAAGCTTTATATGATAAATGTAAATTCGATTCATTGTTTATAATCTTAAACAGATTAATTTCAATTGTAGTTTTTCTAGAAAAGGGACAATTGCGCATTTCTACTTGAAATTGTATAGGAATGATCAGAATTACACAAATTTAAACATCATTGAGTAAATAAAGATTTCAAGGGTATCATTGGGGATCCGGTGCCTTTAATATTTCTCGAGTTGGTTTTTTATTTTGTCGCTTTGAGGATAAAATTAAACATCAAAGCTTTTTTATCACTTAAAATATCCGCATAAAACAGACCACTTAGTCGTTTTCAACATCAGAAATCTAATTTTTTTCTTATTATCTTTTTAGAAGTATGTGAAATATCATATTGATCAATAACATTAAAAATTTTATGATATTAAGCTATTTTTTGCAGTAATCTCAAAAAATGTTATGACAGCAAAAATGAATCAGGGGCGGATACAGGGTGAACCATGGAGAGGGCCGCTCACTCCTTGAAAATTCCTCACGTCTGAAACTAAATTGCTCACCCATGAGGCTAAGGCTTATAGAATTAACTACGAAAAATACACAGAAAATTCTGAAATCCAAAATCTAAAAAATTAAAAAAATTCTATTTGATAAAAATAAAAGACTGAAGAGTGTTTACTAGTTATATATTGAACTTTGCGGTCAAATCGACGTAGTGAGCTATGGCTTTAAAAATGAGAAAACAGTTAAATTTTTAGGGTGAACATGAAACTTGTGCAATAAAGAGGTCAAAATCAAGGTTTATATTTCCCCTGCTTCCCCCTAGGGGTGAGCAAGAAAATGTTAGGGGTGAGCAAGAAAGGGTTAAGGGTGATTTTGAGCTAAACGCAGTAACAGTTTCGCTCCCCCCTAATAAATTCCTATATCCGCCACTGAAATTAACAACAAAAATAAGAGAAGTCACAAAGTTATGGACCCTGAAAATAGTGAATATTTAGGAAAGGTTTTTATATTAGAGAGAAAGGGCTCTGGATGGTCGTTGTTGCTTCCACATTAGTCAAAACTATCTGTTCTTAACCTCTATTTTAAGTTTGCAATATTTCAGTTCATAAATTGTTTATTTAGTGTTATCATGATCAATATAATAAATATAAACACATAATCTACCGTCAATACAGGATATATATTATATGGTCCAGATAATACACACTTAGGTAAGTGCTCAGTCGATATTTGTATAAGAGAACAAAAAATAACTAAAACTTCTGATTTAAATCTTGAAAATCACAGCAGAAAAATCACGTGGATCACTTGAGTAAATTTTATAAATAAATCAAATTAAGTTTGCGCGAAACTATCAAATCAGGATAGAAACAAAATTTTAAATCTTCGTCGATTATTAATGAAAAAAATAGTCAATAACTGAGTTATAAGTTTAAAAGCGAAAGAGTATTTTTCTCAGATATGTTTTAAAGAACAACTTATAAAGTTGATAAAACGTGATTTGAAAGATTAAATATGAGCTTGTGTCGAACATTGAAACAGGGCACCCCCCCCCCCTTCTCCCCAGCTAAATTCCACCGCCACCATTTTATCAGATTTATTAAGAGTTCTGGTGTTTTTTGACAGCAATCTTGATCTGCTCATAGGTTAACCAGAGAGCAATATTCCAGGATACAAGACGCATACAGCTAGCATTGAAGCCCTTGTAGAAAGCCAGCAAACCTTCAGTTCTAAAATGATTAGTATAAGGATGGTTTTGCATAAAATATCCTTTTAGGGAAAAAAAATTATTTTCTCTTTTTAACCTAAAACTCTCTTACACGGCACTTTTATTTAATACACAGAACCAAGAAATAAACATTGACTAGGAACTGCCATATCCGAGATGTCAATTCTGTGTACTGCAGTAGGGGGGGGATGGTGGTTTAAGAAAACCTGTGCCTTAATTCGTTAAAATATATAACAAAGAAAAAATTCACTGTGATTTCTCCGATAATTTTAGTCACTAACAAATTTAAGAAATTTTATGTCATTTCTGTGAATGTCCTAGATTTCTACCCTAACACCGGTATATGGGAAGGACTGAGTTTGATTACACTGCTCCCAGAAAGTGCAGTTCAAAATTTATGTACATTTGAGTTACTAGTCTAGTTCCTTGCACAGAACTAAGAAAAAGGTTGGATAAACTTACTAAATTTGTATATTCTCATACTATGGTCGGTGTTTATATCAATACAATGAAGACGACTTTAAAATTTAAGTTTGATTTCTAACAAGCTTTTTTCAAATTACAAGATAAAAATAAACAAAGAGAAGCTATTAATTGACAACATCTCCTTGCTTCCATGTAAGCGTATCCATTATGTTTGAAAGATTGTTAGAAATAAAAAATTAAATCAAAAGTCGTCTTTATTGTTTTGATGTGTACGACGAAGACTGGGGTGTTTTATGGTCTAACAATAACATATATCAAAATTTAAAGAAGTATGTTTCCGGGTTTGATAAGTATATAAAACTAATTGCCTTCAGAGTGATTAATTTAAACTTCAGAATTTTTAAAAATAGTGAAAAACCAGTTTTTTCTTTGTTTACCTTGCAGTACGTACAGCGCAGTGGAAAGCTCCCCTGTATTGCCCAGCAGGACTGTTCATGAACCTGTACATAAAAACAATTAATTTTTAAATCCAATAACCAGATCAAAAACAAAAATATTTTTTCCGCTGGGCTTAAAACTTGACTTAAAAAGAAGCAACTCTCTAAGTATATTTAAAAATAGACTACTAAATTCTCTTTTTGAAAATTATAGGACAATGTGTTATAAACCGAATTGCTATTCATGTAAAACTAATTAGATATGTTTTAATATGCTTTGATATTTGTTGTGTACATGTCTGAAAATTACTTTAAACTCTAGTTATTCGAATTTATGTATAAACTATTTTGCATATGATAAATTCGCACCCTGATCTCTAATCGTTCTCCTTAAATCTATTTAATTGAAATATTTTGTTATTATTACTAACATTAGGTGGAAAAAATAATCAAAACAGCCAAGAGCTATTTTCCACCTAATTGCTTTATACTTGTACTGTTAATATAATCATCAATTTTGTGATTGTAAACTCTATCTGTATACAGATACATTTATTTTAGCAATAAACGTTATCTTATCTTATCTTATCTTAAAAACTGAAAATAGGCTAAAAAAAAGAATTTCTGCCAATTTTCTTCAAGTTACGTGAAAAACACCTGGTATGCAGGTATACAAGTATGCAGACACGTTTTTATGATAAAAAGTTTGTGCAAGAGATACAACAGGGATAGTTTACTCTTGGTGTTGGAAATATTAGCTCGGAGTATTTATTATCAGAATTCTCTGTTGAAAAACAGGACGCACTTATTTATCAGCACTTATAAGTATTCACTAATATTAGCTGGTAGTATTTATCAGAATTCTCTGTTGAAAAACAGGACGCACTTATTTATCAGCACTTTTAAGTATTCACTAATATTAAGGAAGCATGTGGACGCAAATTGATGACGCACTAAAATGTCGCAAACTAAGAAAGGATAATAAGAACGGATTATTAAGAACTCGCTATTATCAACTCATGTCATTGAGAACACACTTTTGAGAACTCACTCTAAGAGAACTCACTCTAGAGAACTCACTATAAAGAACTCACTATAAAGAACTCACTATTGAGAACTCACTGAGAACGCACTGTTGAGAACTCACTATTGAGAACTTACTATTGAGAACTCACTATTGAGAACTCACAAATGTGAACTCATTATTAAGAACGCACTATTGAGAACTCACTATTAAGAACTCACTATTAAGAATTCACTATTGAGAACTCATTTTTGAGGATTCACTCTTGAGGACCACTGAGAAGTCACTAATGATAACTCACTATTGATAACTCACTATTGATAACTCACTATTGATAACTCATTATTGATAACTCACTATTGATAACTCACTATTGATAACTCACAATTAAGAACTCACTTTTGAGGACCACTGAGAAGTCACTATTGAGATGTCACTATTGATAACTTACTATTGAGAACTCACAATTGAGAACTCGCTTATTTGAACTCACTAATAAGAACGTACTACTGAGAACGCACCATTGAGAACTCACAATTAATAACTCACCATTGAAAACTCACAATTGAGAATTCACAATTGAGAATTCACAATTGAGAACTCACTGTTGAAAACTCAGTATTGAAAACTCAGTATTGAGAACTCACTCTTAAGAACTCACTATTATTAACTCATGTCCTTGAGAACTCACTCTTAAGAACTCACAATTGAGAACTCACTATTGAGAACTCAATATTGAGGATGAACAAAAGTGTCACATAATTATTTTTGCAGTACGATAATACCTTGTTTTTACAACATCAACTGGACTAGCTACCAGGGTAGCGGTTACTCCAGCTACGACAGCACTGCAGTACACAAATATTAGATATAAATAATAATTTTAATTATAATTTCTACATCTAATCTTTTCTACCTTTTATACAATGAATTTACTGCCATTAATTCAAATTCTCAGAAGAAAGAAAAATTCATTATATGTCGAGTATATAAATATTTTTCTAATTCTACTTTTAACTGTTGCTCTGTGTGCGTTTTCTCTTTGTAGTTTGTACATTGTAAAACAATAACAAAAAAATTCACAGATTTTCCAAATTTTACGAAAATTAAAATGTTTAGGGAAATTGTAAATTCTGACCATCCATAAACCTTCCCTAGGGTCATGAGAGGTCCCACACAAATTTGATCCCATTTTTTTCCGCCGTTTTGACATTTATTGGACACAAACAGACACGACAGACAAGAAAATTGAAAATGTATATAGAAATAAGTCTTCTTTGCTGTTTTTGATGGATGTTGACTACGTTTATCTCTTACAGTCTTACAACTAGCTTGATTTATAGACTTGCGTAATATTTATAAAGTAAACAAATTACCTTTATATAAATAAATTACCTTTGTATAATTGAAGTAAGATTGATTAGGATTTAACAAGTTTTGAAGAGAAAAAGATAAAATGTAAATAAACCTTAACAGATGGCACTGTATTCCATCCTTCATTTTATTAGATGAAATTAGATAATCCTTCACAGCATCATATACAACAGTCTCTCCTACATTCACTATACAGTTCCTAGATATTCATTATTATATTCACTATACAGTTCCTAGATATTCATTATTAAATTCACTATACAGTTTCTAGATATTCATTATTATATTGACTATACAGTTCCTAGATATTCATTAATATACTCTCTATACAGTTCCTAGATATTCATTATTATATTCACTATACAGTTCCTAGATATTCATTATTATATTCACTATACAGTTCCAAGATATTCATTATTATTCTCAATATACAGTTCCTAGATATTCATTACTATATTCACTATACAGTTTCTAGATATTCATTAATATACTAACTATACAGTTCCTAGATATTCATTAATATATTCACTATACAGTTTCTAGAAATTCATTAATATACTCACTATACAGTTCCTAGATATTCATTATTATATTCACTATAGAGTTCCTAGATATTCATTATTATATTCACTATACAGTTCCTAGATATTCATTGTTATATTCACTATACAGTTCCTAGATATTCATTAATATATTCACTATACAGTTTCTAGATATTCATTAATATACTCACTATACAGTTCCTTGATATTCATTATTATATTCACTATACAGTTCCTAGATATTCATTAATATTCCCTACATATTTTCTACATATTCAGTAGTATATCTATACTTATAAAGTTGTAATCTCTGTTTGTCTGTCTGTTTGTTAATCCAATCATAACTCATAATTGGTTATTCTTATTCATTAATTCTCCAGCCTTAATCTAAATTTCTGCCCTTTATGATTTCAACAATTTTATCTAAATAAGAATTATTAATGAATAATAATAATATATTAATAATATTTTCTTACCTGGCAATATTAGGCATTGTACCCCTGTAGAGACCAGATTTAAACCCTTCCTGTCTAGCTATTGTTGTATAAGCATCAACAACACCCTAATGTACATAATACATAATAGGTGCAACGAACACGCCATACAGAACAGAGAATAAAACATTAGGTAGAACAGAGTACGTTTGCCAACAAATCTTAAAATATCTAGTTAAATCAGATTGATAATTATTGAATTTAATTTTCATGACAGAAACAATCTCAAGAACTGACGAGAGTCAACCCAGACCGAAATATATTTTAATAAAATGTGGAACTAACATCTACTTTTTTTACGCCACAGCACGAGAATTTCCCTAGAAGGGACTAGTTGATTTGGTGTACCGTCCCGTCTTGCCTGGTATAATCTGTATGTGTACTGTACAGCTGTCTCTGTCTGGTTAGATGTCGGCCCGGTTCTTGAAATGAACCGGACCTAACAGTGACAGAGGTTTGGTCCATCACCATCACCGAGTTTTAAACAAAGAAAAGTACACAGGCACATTACAGAGTACCACACTCACAATACACAGAAAATACATTGCACAGTACATTATAAAGGCATTTTACAGAGATCCTTACTCACTGTACACAGACAGTACACAGTACACAATGCACAATAGACAATACACAGTGCAAATATACAGTACACAATACACAGTACAGAAAACACAGTACACACAGTACACAGACAATAAAAAGTGCCCAATAAACTATGCACAATACACAGCTAATATATAGTGCACAATGAATATACACAATACACAGTACACAATATACAGTACATAAAACACAGCTCACACAAACATAACAAATACTCAATACACAGTTCAAATATAGTACATAATACACATTAAAAATACTTATCACAGAATAATCAGAATACAGTAAAACATTAAAATTACCTTGTACTGTCCCTTGTTGCCAGCTGCCTGCATCCTAACCTTGACAACATCAGTTGGTTGTGCAACCAGGATAGCCAGGGTACCAGTAGTTACTCCTAACATATATATCAGTAGGTTGGGTAATTAGTATAGCCAGGGTACCAGTAGTTACTCCTAACATATATCAGTAGGTTGGGTAATTAGTATAGCCAGGGTACCAGTAGTTACTCCTAACATATATATCAGTAGGTTGGGTAATTAGTATAGCCAGGGTACCAGTTACTCCTAACATATATATCAGTAGGTTGGGTAACCAGGATAGCTAGGATACCAGTAGTTACTCTTAACACATATATCAGTAGGTTGGGTAATTAGTATAGCCAGGGTACCAGTAGTTACTCCTAACAAATATATCAGTAGGTTGGGTAACTAGGATAGCCAGGGTACCAGTAGTTACTCCTAACATATATATCAGTAGGTTGGGTAACCAGGATAGCCAAGGTATCAGTAGTTACTCCTAACATATATATCAGTAGGTTGGGTAACCAGGATAGCCAGGGTACCAGTAGTTACTCCTAACATATATATCAATAGGTTTTGCAACCAGAATAGCCAGGGTGCCGGTAGTTACTCCTTACATATATTAGTAGGTTGGGTAACTAGGATAGCCAGGGTACCAGTAGTTACTCCTTACATATATTACATATATATCAGTAGGTTGGGTAACCAGGATAGCCAGGGTATCAGTAGTTACTCCTAAAATATATATTAGTAGGTTGGGTAACTAGGATAGTCAGGGTACCAGTAGTTACTCCTAGCATATATATCAGTAGGTTGGGTAACCAGGATAGCCAGGGTACCAGTAGTTACTCCTAGCATGTAAATATATCAGTAGGTTGGGTAACTAGGATAGCCAGGGTACCAGTAGTTACTCCTAGCATGTAAATATATCAGTAGGTTGGGTAACCAGAAGAGCCAGGGTACAAGTAACTACTCCTAACATGTATATCAGTAGGTTGGGTAACTAGGATATCATATCATATCATATCATACAGCTAGGATACCAGTTGATACTCCTTATATATATATATCAGTACGTAGGTTGGGTAACTAGGATAGCCAGGGTACCAGTAGTTACTACTAACATTTAAATTTGTTGCACATAAATCTCCATACCGCGTTCTGTCGTCTTTACCATCCTCCTCCTATCTCGGAGCAACCCAACCAAACAATTTCTACGACATTACCTCCGTACTCCGACAAAGGAAACACCGACTAAGTGAAATGTTTTAAATAGTGGAAATCTAAATTCGTCAGTAACTCTGCAATCCATAGCAATTTTGCTTAAACAACCTGAGATGGAAATTAAAGAATTTGAGCCGCGGTTGAAATCCACCAAAACCCGGTTTAAATTAAGCGCCGGCTTAAAGCTTAAAACATTTCATACAATTTTAAGTGGAACTATCCATATTTAAGCCGCGGCTTAAATTTAAACCGCCGCTCAAATTCTTTAAATTCGGCCACTGGTTTCTTATTTTCAAAAGTAGTATCCAAATATTTTAAACGTAATAAAGTAAAAGTACTTGATCGCACACCGGAAAAGCTAGGTTTTTAAAACGTAGTTATCGCTAATAATTATTAATAAGTTCTTTTTCTATATTTAACATTTGGGTCAAATTTTTTCTTTTTTCTTCCAAATTAATTCGTAAATTGTGCTCGATATACAAAAACTACGTTACATAAGTTCCTCTTTGTTCGAATGGAAAATCCCGGTGTTAATGTGAATGTAAAAGTATGTCAGGATTGGAAAGGAATTCTGCATGTGACCTGCAGCTCTCTGAATCAACATAAACATTAGAAATGTCGGCAATTATAATCTTTACTCAACACTTAACATACTAAATAATAAAGATAGACCAATCCTAGCATTAGAATTGAGACCCCACTCTGAGAAAAAATGTTATGTCCTGTTGACACTATTTCTGGGTCGAGTGCTGCTTGGGGATACCAGAGATAAACTACAAAAAGAAAATAATGAAAAGGTAAATCTAACCTGCAGCTATCCTGACACCCATGAGATTGAATCCGTCCTTAGCTCCACTAATCTCCTGATATTTCTGTTTAACTGACTCATATCCTCCGATCCTAGATACAAACAGAAGTTAATAACAAAAATAATGTTTGTTTTGCATATCGTCATGATAGGCATAAAATATCAATTTGGAAAAGAATAACTTTCTAGAAAAATTAACCATTACAAATAGATTACCTCCGCAAAAAAAGAAAAATTTAATCATGAGCAAATATGAACCAAATTATGATTAAAGAATTGTTTTTAGTTATTAACCATCTAGTTTCATGAATGCAGTAAAAATAGTTTAAAAACCTCCAAACTTGACAGGGATGAATAACCACCAATATTTTTAAACACAACAAAATGGGCCAATGGCATTTAACCAAACATTCCTAAATAATATTTTAGACATGTGGCCGTGGGAGGGTGAGGGAAAATAAAAAAAAAGAAAATAATTTAGATTGATTAAAAATCTTAAAATCAATCTTTTTTCTTGTGATCTTTTCATTAGAAACAGTTTTAACTTTTAAAAAGTGACACAATAAAATATTAAGCTTAAAGTAAATGAGCTTGTTTTTAAGCCTGTAAATGCGGGAAACCCCAGTTTTTATCAATATGTCATACTGGAAAAATTTACTGAGGGAATTCCCTAGATCTGTCTTCCCCCCCCCCCCCAACTCTTTAATCCTTAGGAAATTTTCCGGACTTCTTGACAAGGAGAAAAATAAATTAAATCTGAAGTTCAGAAAAATAACTTAATTTGTTCCAACCGGACCCGAAATATGAGAATATAATTTAACAACATGAATAGATAATTTCAAATTTAACCTACAACAATGAAAAATCATTCATACTCCAGTTTGAACACAAAAAAAAGAATAATAAAAGAAACTAGAAATATTAAACTGTATTAGGGTTTCAAAGTAATGGCAAGATCTTATTAATAACGATAATCTTTCCTTGTTTTCTAAATGCTTAGTATTAGTCGAAAAAACTAAATGATTTTATTTTCTATATCAAATTCAAGAAAGAAAAATTAACTGTTATCGATGGTCGTTTCAGAATCCCCATAAAATATTCTAGATAGTTCTAAGTGACGTATAGTTCTTTTTTCGGCAATTCCGTGAATAACTTGCCACAACGCAGAACTAAAAATATTTATGACCCATTCTGGCCTTCCTTCCTAAATTGTCGTTATCCAACTTGTCTAAACCTAAATTAATATTGGGTAAGATAATTTTGGAAAAGACACGTTTAATTCAAATAGTACAGTCGTCGTCGTGTATATCAACACAAGGAAGACGACTTTCTATCTAAAGTAAAAGAATGTGTCCATTAATAGTTTCACTTCGTTTACTTATAAACTTGTAATTTGAAAATGCTTGTAAGGGATCAATTCATTTTTAACAAGAAGTAATCTTCATTGCTTTGATAGATGGCCTACACTGTAATTAACAGCAGGAGTATGCACTCTAATAAATGAAAGGGAACCGACCTGATTGCACTGAATGCCATCTGCCGTTGTAATCCCGGAACTATCCCACTGTAGAGGGCAGATGGTCCTTCCTGCTTACAGATACTCAGTACAGTTCGCAGTACACCACTATAATATGTTAAAGTACATTGTGTACTCTAGTATCTCTCAGTTCAGCTATCAGTACACCCCTGCAATATTTATATATACATTTTTGGTGTAATTATGCAGTAAACATAAGTATCTCTCAGATACCCACTTCAAAATGTATTCTGCATTTTTAGTGTAGTTCATAAAATGAACTCTAACATACAGTTAGTCAGTGCAGTACTCAGAACAATACACCACCACAGTTATATACAAACATACATTTCTATTGTACAACGAAGTATAATTTGTACATAATTAAAACCAGTTTAAAGCGGAATGAATGTTCAGTCTTTAGATAAGAAATGTAAAAAGTCAATAAAGATTTTGTAATTAGACCCGATTTATCTCTGAAAATAAATGTGTACTCTAATTTTACTTAGTACACTCGAGTGTACTCCAGTGTACTCCAGTGTACTTTCCACCAAGTGTTTCTTTTACACAGACTACAGTGTACCCTTATATAATAGAGGAGTATACGAGAATGAGATCTGTAATTATTTATGATGTACTCAATGTACAGAGTACTCCTGTGTACTCTATTCACAAGTAAACTCCCTTGCATTTTTGCACGCAAACTAGGTACAAAGTCTGCTCTTGAGTAGTTTAAGCTGAGTGCACTCTTTTTTTTTAAGGAATATTACAGCGATGTCCAGTACATTCTATTGTACTCTTTAATATATTTTCTTCCGGTGTACTCTATGAACATTGTTCCAATGTACTATTAGTATATATGAGCGTACTCCATGTACTTAGTGTACTGTATAAACAGTGTATTTAGTGTACTCTATAAATAGCGTACTTTATAAATCTAGTTCTATAGAAAATATCTAGGCGGAAAGTAACCTGTTGCTAAGGGGTGCACTGTGGGCTTAGTTCTTGCATTTAATATAGGAAAATATTCAATATGTTTGACAATGAACAAACATGAATATATAAATACATCAATCAATATAAAAAATAAAAATAACTCTTTCAATATAGAAATCATCTTACATTTATTGAATTGATTAAACATGAAAAATAATATGAACCACCAAAAAATATTTTAGATATAGCTTTCTTTAATATTTCTCTTGTATTCTAATTAAATATAAATAAATAAAATAAATAAAACAGCCCCCCCCCCACTTCAATCTACAAACTAAGTAAATAAATACAATAAAATTAAAATTTAAAAAAAAATGTATTTAATATTTACCCTGAATGCATATTCCCTCCTCCCTCCCCTTGTAACTGCAATCGAACCTAAAATACATAATATAATAATAATGTTATGTTAAAAATAAATAATTTTATGTTAGAAAACGTATGTTAAATTTGTTATATTTGTTTAATGTCAAGATATCAACTGTTAAATGTAAAGTTAATAACTGTGAATGTCATATTTATGATGTCATATAAAAATATAATAAACGATATGTTAAAAATGTTTAAATGTCATGTTAGAATACCACCATTTTATGTTAAAAATGTGCAATGTCACGTAAAAAAAGATTTTTTTCTCAAACCTTAAACCAAGGAAGTCACTTTATTTTAATGTCTTCCTTCGTAATTCAACAAAATAAATATAACATAAATCTTAGACTGACCAGTAACAATAAATTAGTAGGCTAACGACGATTGAAAGCTAGAGTATAGGTTATGACCCCGAATAAGTTAGGTTGGAAACATCATTAAGAGATCAGGTTTTAAATGGGCACAATATTCAACTGTTTACCATCTACAGTATTCAAGAATTCAACTGTTTACCATCTACAGTATTTAAGAATTCAACAATTTACCATCTACAGTATTTAAGAATTCAACTATTTACCATCTACAGTATTCAAGAATTCAACTATTTTTCCATCTACAGTATTCAAGAATTCAACTATTTACCATCTACAGTATTCAAGAATTCAACTATCTACCATCTACAGTATTCAAGAATTCAACTGTTTACCATCTACAGTATTCAACAATTCAACTGTTTACCATCTACAGTATTCAAGAATTCAACTGTTTACCATCTACAGTATTCAACAATTCAACTATTTACCATCTACAGTATTCAAGAATTCAACTATTTACCATCTACAGTATTTAAGAATTCAACTATTTACCATCTACAGTATTCAAGAATTCAACTGTTTACCATCTACAGTATTCAAGAATTCAACCATTTACCATCTACAGTATTCAAGAATTCAACTATTTACCATCTACAGTATTCAAGAATTCAACTATTTGCCATCTACAGTATTTAAGAATTCAACTATTTACCATCTACAGTATTCAACAATTCAACAATTTACCATCTACAGTATTCAACAATTCAACTATTTACCATCTACAGTATTCAAAAATTCAACTATTTACCATCCACAGTATTTAAGAATTCAACAATTTGCCATCTACAGTATTCAACAATTCAACAATTTACCATCTAAAGTATTTAAGAATTCAACAATTTACCATCTACAGTATTTAAGAATTCAACAATTTACCATCTACAGTATTCAAGAATTCAGCTTTTTATCATCTACAGTATTCAACAATTCAGCTATTTACCATCTACAGTATTCAAGAATTTAACTTGTTAGGGTAGATTGAAAATCCTTTAACGAACGGTAGTTTTGAAAATAAGTTTCGTTAACGAACGGTAGTTTTAAGAATAAGTTTCGGTAACGAACGGTAATTTTAAGAATAAGTTTCGTTAACGAACGGTAATTTAAAGAATAAATTTCGTTAACGAACGGTAGTCTTGAGAATAAGTTTCGTTAACGAACGATCAGTGCTTAGTTAAAAAAAAAGGCTGGATGAAGGATGGACCATTAACTTAAGTACATTTCTAATTTAATTTTTCAGACCAATAATTTAATTAGATGGAATTAGCAATTCCGCTAATGAAAGAAAGTCGGGTAAAAAATTAATGAAAAATTGACATACCTTGGTTGTATCTAGTGGGAATGTAAATATATCCGCCACACAAGCTGAAACCCCAGCTGTACCTAACTGTACCAGGAGACTAGGGGCCTAAAGTAAACATTTACAAATTGTTAAAGGAAAAAATTATTTATCATTGTATCCAATTAACGTCAAATTACGACTAAACCTTTCGGACACACATTTTTTGTTGAACGCCACCAAATTTGAAAATTTGCCTCCACACAAATTTAGAACGGAAATTAAAACAGAATACAATCTTCTTTATCTTAATTGTTACTTTTCTTAATTATAATAGTAATAATAATAATAATAATAATAATAATAATAGATAGATAGATAGATCTGTAATGATTGTTACAGTAATATTTAAAATCTAAAATTTTAGCGCCAGAAACAGGTGAAAATAGCAACCTTTAAGTCTAGTTTTATAAGAAAAATAAATAAAAAATTCGATCAAAAAAATTTAAGAAATGGAAGGTTTTCAGATTTAAGAATAAAAAATGGGAAGAGCAAGAAACGTAAGAAGTGTAATTAATTTAGAAATATATGTGAACAATGCACAACTCAGCACAAAGAGTCGGCTGCCTATGTAAGGCTCAGAAAAAGAAAAAAATGTAAATTTCTAATAAGAAATATATTTGTATAAAAATCGTAGTAACGACTGTATGAAACTGTCAACATGATTTGAAGTGTGTATCACTGAGGTCGAGAAAGATATGTATATTGGTGTTTTCCCTCTCAGAAGACATAAATCCTGTAAGATTTGTTTCTTGTCTCAGTTTCATAAACCCACAAATCAATAAATAGTTTAACCGCGATTGACAATTATCGATTTTCCGAAAGAAAAAAAAATATAATATTTTTCATAGACAAGGGTCTAAAGGATATCTTTGTAAATCAAGAATGTAAAAGAAAGGTTTATTGAAATCAATGTCGAAAGGATATAATTGAAAACAAAATAAATAAATGTAAAACTTACAATCTGAGCTCTAGGTAAAGTAACAACAGGAGATTCTTTGATGATGGTTGCCATTTTACTCTCTTTAAACTGATTTTTGGTAAATAAAACTTAGATTTTCTGTTCACTTTTCAATATGATATTTTTATGTCACACAATATCTAATAAAAGACAATTTATCAATGTTCTCTGTATGGTTCTTCACCAACTTCTCTGAAAAAAAATCAGCTTTAATTTAGCAATTAAGTAATATTTTAATAGTTGGTCTTTCAAGGGACTGTAAAAGTAATGTCAAGATACGCTTCATTTATAGAGTGGAATATTCAATTAACAACAGATAAACTTAAAAGCTTTGTCAGACCATGAATCTATGATGTTTTCATTAATTTTTCTCTGAAAATTTATTAATTAAGTTCTGATTTTTCTTGAAGAAACAATCAAGCAAGTTTAAGATTTGATCCCCAAAATAATTCCGCAATCCCAATTCAATATTGGTTGACTTTTTATAAAACTTTTTCACGTGATTATCAGAATGCATGCACTCATGCTAAAAGCACGAATTTATGCAGTTTAAATGCAAAACATTATGTATTTATCAGATTGCATGAAGTCAGGGTACCCTGGTATTGCAGAATTCGTAAAAAATATATAAATAAAAGTCGATTTTGAAAGTTCAATCTACGGAAAGGTTTATTTCAAATGTCACTATGCACAGGAGTTTGTTGAATACATTTCTTTCTTTTAAAAATATGAATTTTTTTATAAGAATGAAATGTAATATCGCTTTAATAAATAGTGACCTACCTGTAGAGTTCTTTTATATTTCTTGCTCTATCATTAGTAGGAACTGCGACACACCTTTAAACAAACTAGTGTAAAGAAAACAAAGAAATTTAAACATCTAGAATTCCCGAAAATGTATCCTCAACTGCATGTTAGACAACGCATAAGTAGGCAGTGCAATAAACATGCAGTATCAGAAGTTATACTAAAAGATTGATATATTTTTGTTGAGCTTAAATTAAATCAAAAAGTTGGATTTGCTTTTAGTAAATAACTGTTTAGTATTTATTAACATTATTATCAGCGAGGTTGTTTTTAATAACAAATCACCGTCTGCTAAATTTTAACTTAAGAAAGTGATTACTCGCCTCAAAATTTAATTTTATCTGATCGATATTTTGATCAAATAGTAAATTTTCTTTAAAAGTAATTCCATCAAGTTGCAAAGATATATGAAGTTTGATGAAAGTAATCCTTTCCTNCCCCTACCTTATCCTACTCCAAGTATACTCAAGACTGGAGCTCAAGCTTCTATTATTCATTAAATTTAACAAACCTGAAATAAAAAAAATATTAATGATTTTAAAAAAAATGAATGATAAAATCATTTTACAGTAGATCACGGTAAACGTCAAATCATTTTAGCATAAGGCAAAGACCGAATTGATCGTCTCCACGACGACTTAATTTTTTTTATAAGTTTATTATAAGTTTATTTTATTATTAAGTTTATTATATCTGAAAAAAGACCGACATCTCAAGTGTACAACGCTTTTGATTGGCATAGTCTGTTCAAATCTAATCCTCCTCCCACAGATAATATCATCTTAGAGTGAGAACTCAGAGTTTAAAAGAGAGTTAGACATTTGATCTTCAGTGAAATAACAAACAAGAAAGCATTTTAATAGACTTTGCTGTCGCTGAATTTTCCAGAGACATTTTGCTCCGCGCCCCAATTTAATAAAGGGATTAAAGGGATTAAAGGGACTGTCAGCGTAAATTCAAAATCAACTTCCATTTAAAGAGTTGCGTCGTGTCCGATTCAGAAATATACACTTTAAACCTTTTATGAACAACAATTAGAAAGATCACTTTTTTTAAAAAAAAGTATTGAATTCTGATAATTACTTCCTCTCCTCTGTTGCATAATTCCCAAAGTCACTTAAACACACAAAACAAAAAACAAATGATCGTGTTTTTTCAAAACCCAATGATATCTTCAGTATTTCTGCTGAGATTAATTTGAAAAGTCTAGAGCTGTTAATCGGACAGGCTACCCTGTAAAGGGAGAACATATGAAATAGAGACAAAAGTCCCTTTAATTACAAAATAAAGGAAACTAAGACAACACAACAACGTATTTACTTTATGCGTACAAAGAACCTAATTAGAATCAGTTAGAAAGAAAATTCAAAATATTTTAACAATTTCGTCAGAAATAAACTGGAGATCAATTCATTTTTCTCTAAACTTCATTGAACTAGACTTTCTCAGTGGAAAACAAACTGCAATTTCTAGGAAGAAAATAAACCGCAGATTCTAGATGTAAACTGCAATTTCTAGATGTAAACTGCAGTTTCTAGATGTAAACCGCAGTTTCTAGATGTAAACTGCAGTTTCTAGATGTAAACTGCAGTTTCTAGATGTAAACTGCAGTTTCTGGATGTAAACTGCAGTTTCTAGATGTAAACTGCAGTTTCTAGATGTAAACTGCAGTTTCTGGATGTAAACAGCAGTTTCTGGATGTAAACTGCAGTTTCTAGATGTAAACTACAGTTTCTAGATGTAAACTGCAGTTTCTAGATGTAAACTGCAGTTTCTAGATGTAAACTGCAGTTTCTAGAAATAAACTGAAGTTTATAGGAGGAAAATTAACTGCAGTTTCTACGAGGGGAAAATACACTACTGAAGTTTCCAGGAGGAAAATAATCTGCAGTTTCTAGGAAGAAAATAGACTGCAGTTTCTCCAAATAAACTGCAGTTTATAAGATAAAAATAAACTGTAGTTTCTGGAGGAAAATAAACTGAAATTTCGAGGAGGAAAATAAACTCGAGATTTTAGGAGATAACTGCAGTTTCTAAGAGGAAAATATCAAGGAAAGAAAAAACTGCAGTTTCTTGAAGAAAAAAAGCTGAGCTCAGAGCACTATAGATCCATATAATTAAATCTTATTAGATTTCCGAAATTATGCATTTTTAATTCCTATTAATCACGTAGTTTTAAACCTGCAGGTTTTGACTACAAACGGGTTTCCCATCTTGTCAAGTTGTAACCAGT